TTTGTTATTTCTGATTTTGTGTGTTTGGCTTCTCTCTCTTTGTTTCATGGTGAGTCTAGCTAACGGTCCATCAATCTTGTTTGTCTTTTCGGAAAACCAGCTCTTTGTTTCATTGACCTTTTGAATTATCTTTTTGGTCTCCATGTTTTTTATTTCTGTTCTGATATTTACTATTTCTTTCCTTCTACTTGCTCTGGGGTTTTCCTTTTGTTTGCTTTCTAATTTTTTAAGTTGTGAGGTTAGACAGTCAATTAGAAATTTTTCTTCTTTTTTGAGGTAGGCCTGTAGTGCTATGAACTTCCCTCTCAGAACTGCTTTCGCTGCATCCCATAAATTTTGTGTTGTTTTGTGTTCATTTTCATTGGTTTCCAGGAAGTTTTTAATTTCTTCCTTGATCTCCATGGTAACCTATTCATTATTCAATAAAATACTATTTAGCTTCCATGTGTTCAAATGTCTTTCCATGTTCCTGTTGCAATTGATTTCTAGTTTCCTGTCATTGTGATCTGAGAAGATGCTTGATTTAATTTCAATTTTCTTGAACTTGTAGAGACTTAGTTTGTGCCCTGACATGTGGTCTATCTTTGAGAATGTTCCATGTGCACTTGAGAAGAATGTGAATTCTGCAGTTTTGGGGTGTAATTCTCTGTATATATCTATTAAATCCATTTGACCTAGTGCTTCATTTAGAATCTCTGTTTTCTTGTTAATTTATTCGTCTAGATGATCTATCCAGTGATGTCAGTGGGGTGTTGAAGTCCCCTGCTATGATAGTATTGCTGTCAACTTCTTCTTTGAAGTCCTCCATAAGATCTTTAATATATTTTGGTGCTCCTATATTGGGTGCATATATGTTTATCAAGATTATATCTTCCTGTTGGATAGATCCTTTCAATATTATATAGTGGCCTTCTTTGTCTCTAGTTATGGCTATCATTTTGAAATCTATTTTATTAGATATGAGTATTGCTACACCAGCTTTTTTTTTCTTTTTTGTTTTCTTGGAAGATTTATTCCATCCCTTCACTTTCAACCTTTGTGCGTCTTTTGTTGTGAGGTGGGTCTCTTGTAAACAACATATATGTGAGTCATGCTTTCTTATCCAGTGTGTTACTCTGTGTCTTTTTATAGGAGTATTCAAACCATTTACATTTAAGGTGATTATTGATATGTACTTATTTATTGCCATTTTTGTTTAGTGTGGTTATATTTTTCTTCCTATTTCTTCTACTAATTATAGCAGTCCTTTTAACATATCTTGTAGTGTTGGTTTGGTGCTAATATATTCCCTTAGCCTTTTTTTGTCTGGGAAGCTCTTTTTTTTTTTTTTTTGATATGTGCACCTAGCAGGAACCGAACCCGAGATTCTCTGTTCTGCAGGCTGACACTCCAACCGCTGAGCCAAACCAGCTAGGGTTGGGAAGCTCTTTATTTGACCTTCTATTTTGAATGATAGCCATGCTGGGTAGAGTAGTCTTGGATTCAGATCCTTGTTTTTCATGACCTTGATTACTTCATGCCATTCCCTTTTGGCCTGTAGTGTTTCTGTTGAGAAGTCAGATGATAACCTTATGGGGTTTCCTTTTTAGGTAATCTGTTGCTTATCTCTTGCTGCCTTTAGGATTCTCTCTTTGTCTTTAATTTTTGGCATTTTGATTACTATGTATTTGTGTGGGCCTGTTTAGGTTCTTCTTACTTGGGGCTCTTTGTGCTTCTTGAACTGAAATTTTCTTTATTTAAAGTTTACATTCTCCAGTACCAATATAATATGTAGTGAAGATTTTTTTTAAGTCTCTTTTTACCTTGCCCTTTTGCCTAAACAATTGGTTTAGAACTTGTATAGGACAGAGGAACATTGCTTATTGGACCTCCTCCCTTTTTTTCGATTAGGTTACTAAAAGGAAACGAGTGAGGTAGGAAGGGACAAGAGAATATAGAGCCCTATGGGTAGTGGTGAATGCATTGTCTTTAATGTAAAGTTTATTAGGAAGTTCCAGAAGGTTTTAAGCGGACATGTGGCAATAGAGGGCTTGTATTTTTCAAGGAACAGTCTGATTGGTGTGGAGAGAATGCATTAGAGGGTATGAAAACAGAGGTTTGGAGACTAGGTCGGAGGACATTGTAGGAAATCCTGAAGAAAGATGATTGTTGCTCACATGAGAGAAACTAGGTGATGGTAAATATGATGAAATACGCGTGTCCTTTCCTCTTATGGTCTGGTTTGATTTTGGATACATTTTAGAATATTTAGAGGGATGAAAGCATGAAATGGCCTTCATGTAATCCTCCAGAAGTAGTAGTATTTCTCATGGTCTGTCTTCTGTCTCTGTCTCTCTGTCAGTCTCTCTGCCTCTCTGTCTTTGCCTCTCTCTCTCTCTCTCTCTCTCTCTCTCTCTCTCTCTCTCTCTCTCAGACACACACACACACACACATACATGCACACACACACTCTTTTGGTAAGAAAGAGTAGAAGGGGTTTTATTACATTTCCTGGTAATAATTTAAAGTGCACTGATTCTGTATGTGCTTTAACAGTTAACTGAAATCTCTTCCGACATTTCAGCATTAATGAGGACCTCATCACCTCTATTCTTCTAAGAGTGTCTGCAGCCCACCCTATGCCACCTCCGGCCCCTGCCCCACATTGTAACAAGATATCACTGTCGAGAGCACTGTTTTGTTACAAGGTGCCCTAATCACAGTCTTTCCTGAATTACAAGGAACTCTGACACTACACAGATTACACAGATTCCCGTCACAAGAAGCCAATGACCACAGAAAAAGGAAACACATTTTTCAGAAAAGGAGGCCCCTAATCACAGAAGATGTCTGTTTTCAGAAAGGGGTCTCTGACTGCTTGTTCAAGCCAGGAACAGGTCCATAAAGTGCCAATTAAAAGGTACCCCGTGGCTCGTGGACGCGAGGTGCTGCGGGTGCTCCTCTCTCTTCTGCTTCTGCATGAAGGTTACAGTAAAGGGAGAATCTTCTCCTCCACACAGCACATAAGTCTGATTCGAAGGCCATGCATGTGTCCGTGGATATGTGCCTCCTGAGATTCTGTGTACGAGGCAAAGATTTCCTTGCAAGACAATTTGGGTTTACTCCAACACTCAGATGGGCAATCGATGTACTAAAGTTCTGCATCATAAAACACAGGCACCGCGATTTAGGCCTGGACAGATTTCAAAGGATAGTTTACTGATCTTCCATGTGGCGATTAAAAACAATTTTTAGTAAGATATTGCTAAAATATTTATTTTTGATCCATATAAATTCCTGGGGATTTCTAATATTAAGTACATATAAAATATATGCCAGGTAATTACATTTTATTTTTAACATTGGAAAAGTTAGAAATAATCCCATTTGATACTGGCGGCTGAGTCCACAAAGGGCGAATTGGGGGCGAGGTAGATTTTTAAATAGTAATAAAATAGTGCGAACCATTGTACGTTGAAGCTGCTCCTAATATAAAAGAGAGTAGAGATAAAAGAACCAGTATATCTATATAATGATTTTCTTCTCTAAGGAGAGCATATGGTTCACTCAGAAGTGTTTCTAAATTACTAAATTTCACTTTAAAATGTGAGTTCACGCCTGCTTTGCCTCCTCAAAATTATCTGACTGACCAATAGATGGTGCTCTAATCTTGATTCTAGTGGAGATTTAATGATGCAGATTACAAACCCATGGATCTTGATTGAGTTAAAGGAGGTTCATTACGACTCATTTATTCATTCATTTTGCAAGTCATTTGTGAGCACCACTATGTGCCAGGACTGCATTAGGTTTTCTTTTACAGGGTCAGAGACCACTACAAGGTAAATAAAACTTCAATGTGTTTTTACACAGAGTAATATTATTTCAGTTTATATGGTTGTGTAACAAATCTCTTCAGAGCTTAATGGTTTACAATAACAACGGTTTATTACATCTCATCACTTTGTTGGCTGAGTGGTTCCTCTGATGATTTCTTCAGGGCTCACTCACTCATGTAATTGCATTTGGCTGGGGGTGTCCTGGGCTAGAAGGTCTGATATTGAAACACACGTGTTGGCAGTTGGTGCTGGCTGTCCTCTGGGCACCTACATCTGCCTCCATGCAAGTAGTCTTGTAAGTTATATCTGCATATATTACCTCACTTTGAACACCCTTGGTTGGTCAAAGCAAGACCAAGTCCTGCCCAGATACAAGAGGTCAGGAAATAGAATCCAACTCTTGATAAGAAGGGTGATAAATCACTCTGCAAAGGGACATGGGTGTATTGGGATGGGAGGACTTGGTGGTCATATTTTTTGATCTACAAAAAAAAGTAGAGAAATGAACAATGATGGAATAGACACACTTAGGTTCTTCAGTCTCCTCGTAGAAACATTATTACAATTTTGAGAAAGGAAAGTGGTATGTCTCTAAGACAAAACAGTCTATTGGGCTAATGAGGCTGTTGTTATGGTGGGAAATAAAGGGTTATATGGATTTGGATTACCCATCACATGTGCTGTGTGAATGCCTTCATTATTAGTCCTTTCCATTATTTCTGGATACTCAGTTTTCTTCAGCAGTTGACTAACGTTGTAAGAGTCTGTTAACTCGTAATTAGTGTTTCCCCAGAGTGTGGAATGAAAGTAATGGAATCAGCTAGAATGAAGTAGTTGAACTACACTGGCAAAGGCAGCCGAGATGTAATTCCAGTGTTCTGTGGTATTATAGGGTGGGGCAAGAGTAGGGTTGCAGTTGTTCCTATGGAAAATAATACAATAACTAATAAATAAAAATATAAGAATAAACTCGTGCACCCACAAATGTAAACCTGCTTTTGCCACACCCTGTATATGCACAATCAAACAGTTACCTTTCTACAACCTTGTTCAATAACTATAAAAATATATTTTAAAAGGTGGAGCTATTTTTTTGTAATTGTTTTATTTATTAAATTTCTACTGTGTCAAGACTTACATATGTCACCTCTAAATGTTATAATAATGCTAAAGGGTGTCAGTTCCTGTTTTACAGATGAGTAAACTGAGGCCTAGAGGGAAGATGGGTGCATTTCCTGCAGCTAAATATTAAGTACAGGACAGAATTTGGACTTCCAGGTACCCATTCAATACCATTCTCCCTCTCTCTTTGAGCAATGGGGCACCAGTTTTGCTGGAGAAAGCAATGTGCCCAGCCCAAACTACATTTCATAGGCTCCTTTGCATTAGCAGATAGAAATCAACTAGGTGGTGAAATGTGGCTGAAAGTTGTTTAGTAGGGATTCTGGGAAAATGCCTTAAAAAGGGGGCGGACTTGGTTGATACACACGTTTTTGGCATTGTTTCCTCCTGTTGTTTGAACAAGATGTGATGCCTGGAGCCCCAGCAGCCACAATGTAAGCACAGTTGCGTAGCCAGAGTGCAGGCTGGTGTAGCAGAGGCCAGGAAGAGCATGGGCTCCCGCAGAAGCTGTGGACCTGCTTCATCAGCTCTGATGTGAGAGGAAAATAAAGCTCCCATCTTGCTTAAGCCACTGTTATTTTTCTTACATAGACAGCTATACTCAATTTTAATAAAGACACCAAATATATCCCCCATTGCTTTATTTCAATTCTTTATTTAAAATAATTTATGAAATTAAAGTTATAAAAGTAATAAAATAATATTTCAGTCTAAGAATGTCCATGCACAATCAAAAGCCTCTACCCCTGCAGAAAACTGGGAAGAACCTTTTTTGTCTTGAGATAAACATCTTGATTCTCAGCCTTTGCAAACTTGTGTCTTCAAGGCTTGTTTCTTGTTCTCCAATTTCAGTGACCCTGTGGCTTTCAAAGGAAACTTGTCTTGCTTTTGCCTCTGAGAATGAGTCTCTTGCCTTTGCTTGAACTCGGTGGCAGTAAGACTTCTAGAATGATCTGACCTGTGAATTCCACAACCTAAATCAGCACATCTTCAAATTTCAGCTGCATGAGAATCACATGGGATATTTGTAAAAAAAATCAGATTTCAGACCTACCGTAGAGATTTTGAGTCATTTGTTCTGTGGCAGGGCCCAGAAAATTGCATTTCTAACAAATACTCCAAACAGTACTAAGGCATGTGATTCACTAGCTGCCCTTTGAGACGCCCTGCTCACTGTTCCCCCAATCAGTGCTTCATGCTATGTTGTCTGACCCAAAGCTGAGACGTGCGGAGTGGGACGGCTGCATTTCGGTGTCTTTAACAGAGACTGAGAGAAAATGCATACACAAGAAGAAAAAAAACAACCTCAAACCCCTGACTTAAGCAAGATAGGGGTTATGTTTTCCTCTCATGTAAGCCCTGCTATGGTATGAATAAAGATGATTCCTGAAGTCTATTAAGCTAGGTCAGGGTGACATGGCTTACTTTTTTCCTTACTGTGGAGATTTTCCTGTAAGTTTTAAGTTTGTACTAATTGGTATGGGCTGGCACAAATTGTACCAGATGGATAGGTAGGTCTCCTACTTTTGCAGTGTTCCAACTTGCCTTTCTTGTTCTTAATTATTAAAGATTAATTTTATTTTGCATAACATTCACAGAGAATTGCCAATACCTTTCCTCAAAGGACATAATTTAAGCTCCAAAAGATCAAAATTTTAATAAGAGTTTGAAGATGTTGCCAATATGTTTACAGGAGCTACCAAATGCTTTCCATTCAATGCTCTGTATTAAAGGGAACAATTATGAGAATGTGAAAACCTAGGCCACACCTGGGAAGAAAATATGTGTCTATCTCCAAACTGGATGTGTTCCTGAAAAGTGCAACAAAATTAAATATGAAAAATTAAAACAATCAACCTATATGTTTTAAGGCAGAACTAGACATTTTATAAAGTCCGCAATTTTACCTGACTACTCAATTATATATTACTGGTGTTTCATACACACTCTTATGTTACTTAATTTATTCTTTTCCTGCCCATTTGTTCTTTTCTTTCGGCTAGGTTGAAGTAAATTACTTTTTTCTGTAATACAAGCACTACGACTGCTGCTGCTGCTTCATCTCCAACTTCCCTCCGCTCTCTAAATTTCCTCTCAACGTAATGTCAATATTGCAGGTATGCTATCAATTTTATCTTTTTAATGACACATTTCCCTGCTCCTCTGTAGATTGGTTGATCTCCGGGCCTGATGCAGAGTTCCTGTTTGACATCTCTGTTCTCCATCATCCTGAAGAGTCTCTTCATCTCTTCATGCTGGATTGTGTTCTCCTACCTCTCTGGCCTTTCTTTTCTGAGTTCATCCTTGTCCTGGTGGAGCACAATTTCTAGCCGCATCCTGAAAAACATTGCCTGTAGGTAAACTTTTCAAGGCCTTGCATGTTTGAAACTGTGTTTAGTATTATACCATCACTCTTTTTTTTTTAATACCATCACTCTTAATTGCTAGTTTGGCCAGGTCTGGAATTCTAGGTTGAAAATTATGTCCCTTTGTAATTTGAATCTCAATGTTCCACTCTCTTCTAGCTTCTGTTTTAATATTGAGAAATCCAGTGCCTTTCTAATTCTTTATTTTAATTTCTGTTTTTAAAAATTGTTTCAGTTACAGTTGACATTCAGTATTATTTTATATTAATTTTAGGTGTACAGCACAGTGGCTAGACATTTATATAATGCACAGAGTGATTCCCCCTGATAAGTCTAGTACAGTCTGGTACCACACATAGTTATTGCAATATTATTCACTATATTCCCTCTGCTGTACTTTATATACCGAGACTATTTTGTGACTACCAATTTGTACTTCTTAATCCTTTCACCTTTTTCATCCAGCCTCCTAACATCCCTCCCCTCTGGCAATTCTCAGTTTGTTCTCTGTATGTGAGTCTGTTTCTGTTTTGTATGTTTGCTTATTTTGTTCTTTAGATTCCACACATACTTGAAATCATGTGGTATTTGGTTTCTCTATCTGACTTACTTCACTTAGCATAATACCCTCTTGGTCCTCTGTTGAAAATAAGATTTCATTCCTTTCTATTGCCCAGTAATATTCTATTGTATTTATGTTCCACATCTTGTTTTTGTAATCGTCTACTGATGGGCACTTGGGTTGCTCCCGTGTCTTGGCTATTGTAAATAATGCTGCAATGAACATAGGGGTGCATATATCTTTTTGAATTAGTATTTTGGATTTCTTTGGATAAGTATTCAGAAATGGAATGGTTGAGTTATTAGATAGTTTTATTTATAATTTTTTGAGGACCCTCTATACTATTTTCCATAGTGGCTGCACCAATTTGCAGTCCCATCAACAACGTATGAGAGTTCACTTTTCTCCACATCCTCACAACATTTGTTTGTTGATTTATTGATGATAGCCATTTGGACAGGTATGAGGTAATATCTAATTATGGTTTTAATTTGCATTTCTCTGGTGATTAGTAATGTTGAACATTTTTTCATATGTCTCTTGGCCATCTGTATGTCCTCTTTGGAGAAATGTTTGTTCAGATCCTCTGCCAATTCTAATATTGATCATTGTATGAACTGTAATTTATTGCTCTTATTGCTTTTAAAACCTTTTTGTTTCCCTCATTTATCTTAAACATCTTATAATGTTTCTTGGTATAGGTGTTTTTATCTACTATGTCAGACATTTGGTGAATTTTTTTCAATCAACTGATTTATATTTTTCAGTTTAATGAATTTATCCTGAATTCTTAATTTGTTTCTCCACTCTTTCCTTGTATCTTTTTTTTTTTTTTTTTTAGTGGAACTTCTGTTGTTTTGATGTTAGACTTTATGGATTTACATCTAATTTTTTTAAGTTTCTGTGTTATTTTGTATTGCTTTGCCTTTTTGCTACACTTTCTGCCATGTTTTCTCAATTTTATCCTCTAAATCTAATGTTGATTATTTAATAACTGCTACTATACTTATATTTTCTAAGAGTTATTTTATCTTCCTTTTTTCCTTCCTTCTTTCCTTCCTTCCTTCTTTCCTTCCTTCCTTCCTTCCTTCCCTCCCTCCCTCCCTTCCCTCCTTCCTTCCCTCCCTCCCACCTCCTTCCCTCCCTCCCTCCCTTCCTTCCTTCCTTCCTTCCTTCCTTCCTTCCTTCCTTCCTTCCTTCCTTCCTTCCTTCCTTCCCTCCTTCCCTCCTTCCTTCCCTCCTTCCTTCCCTCCCTCCCACCTCCTTCCCTCCTCCCTCCCTCCCTCCTTCCCTCCCTCCCTTCCTTCCTTCCCTCCCTCCCTCCCTCCCTCCCTCCCTCCCTCCCTCCTTCCTTCCTTCCTTCCCACCTTCTTTTCTTAATAGTGTGGCATAGACAATCTGCTAGCTAATATGATTTGTATCTCTTTACTTAAAATAGAATTGCTGATGGAAAGTAACTTCTCAGTCAGGGACAACATTTCCAAGTTCCTCTTGCATCTTGCTAATGGAAAGTGAACAGAAATAGTATCTGTTTTTCTAGTCCAAAGAGATAGGAACAAGGTGTTTCCTCTGACACTTTTTCATTGTTTGAGAGATGAATAGATAGAACTCTCAGAACCAAAGAGACGGAGAAGTCACAAATGGAGGGGACCTGGGACCCTGAATAACTATGTGGAACAGACACCCCCCCACATTACAAATTGGAATTTATATGGGTGAGAAATAAATATCTATGATGTTAAGCCATTGAGATGCCAAGATGTTTCCAGTGTAGCAGTTAGAATTCCGTAATTAATGTATCATTCTCTTTTGATTGGTTGATGCAGTCTTCTTGTATTTATTTTTCTGAGAATATTAATGTCATTTTAAAAATTTACTTTTCTTCTTCCAGTATAGTCTTGCTTTCCTTCACGTTGCTTTTATGGGTACATGGTTTGGACAGTGTTTGTCATTTAGAGGCTTGCCTTAAATATCTTTACTGGCCTCTTACATTTAAGAAGAGGGCACCAAAACTCGTGTGTTCAGTGGTTTAACTAGCACGTTTTTTCGGGAAATACTGTATGAGAGCATTTTTAAGGCTTTTCTCTGGGACTTGCAAGATTGCGCAGAACAGTTGCCTTTGACCTCCTGGCGTGCCCAGTCTTCATCACCAGCATTCTGCAAGCTCGTGTGGGGAGTGGGGTGGGGGTGCTAAAGTCTCAACACTCAGTATGGAAACTTTGATTTTACTCCCCTAATCTTTGCCTGAAACGCCCCACCTCGGAGGGGGAGGGCCTCAGTTTCACTCTCTCTGCAGAGTCAACCGGTCTGCGGGAGTGAGACAGGGCCGCCAGCTTCACAGGGTTGTGAGGTCCGGGAGGTCTAACTGTGTCTGAGAAATGCCTCTCGAACAGTCTTGTTGTTCTTTATACTCACTTTTAACCCCAATTCTCCCTGAGGTACCTGGTGGAGAAAACCTTGGGTCTCGGGGGATCCCAGCTCTCCCGGCTGCTGGCTGAGCGCGGCTTCCTCGGACTTGCCAAGTAATTCAGGGCTCAGCCAGCGCGTTCTAGCTTCCAAAACTGTCTCCTTCCCAAAGATGCTTCGTCCATGTGAGTTTATGCCTTTATTTATTTGTTTTTAAAATACAGCTTATTGAGCTTTTAGAGGACAGCCAAAGCCTAAAAGCACATTCATTTGTTATATTTATCTGAAAACGTAACAATTTTGAATGAAAACTGACTCAATTTCATTATTTCCAAAATAGCAGGACACCCAGTGTCTTTTTCCTCTCTCTTCTGAATTGTTCAGTGTCCCCAGAGGACCACTCAGAGGGCAGATCTCGCTTACAGGAGAACGGGAGAACGGACTGACTCACTAGTGGGATTCGTTTTTCTGCAGCTATTATTTCTGTAGCTGGTGAACAGTGTTGTTCCTGCGAATTGGCTTGGAGAGGTCACTGCTGCACTTGTGCTTTGCTGGTCCTGATCCTTTCACCGGTTCTCTGATGAGATCGCCTCACCCCTTCAGCCAGGGTGGTCCATATCTTCTCTTTGGGTTGTATCTTTTCAGTTCATACTCACATGCTCAGCAATTGTTCCCCGAGTATGGCCCCCATTGGTTACAATGTGAATTCAGCTTCAGCTACAGGCTGTGACAGGACCAAGACTCATTAAAGACGCCTGAGTCCAGTTCAGATTCCTTGTTGCTAACAATAAGTGCTTCTTATGGGACCTGGAGTGTTATCCTGCTGAAAGCCACTCTAGTGATTGGAAGTCTGGACCCTGCCTGAAAACTCCCAGTCCCCAACCTAGGGGAAAGCACAGATTTCTCTGATGAGCCCCACTGGTATGAGATTTGGAAGGTGCGCAAGAACCAGAAATCCATTATTACTCGTCTGGGTAGTTGTGGGCAGATACTTGGGCTTCAGCTGAAGTGTCAGTGACTCACCTCAGCGCTAGAGGCAGCTCTGATCACCATCAGCATTCTCCTGGGAGTATCACGAACTTTCAAATCTCTGAGAGGTAATGGCAAACCCCAACGCTAGTGGCCAAATTTGCTGACATCTATTCCTCCTGTATGTTTGACGGTGGGTGTGCACCTAACTCCTTATATTAATTTTCATTCTGCTTGAAACACTAGAGGGACCAGATCGTGACTGCTATTGTGCACAGCATCTTCTGTTGCACATTTTTTCTCAGAGCTTTGAGTGCCTGCTGCCTACATGGGAACTTCCAAATGGAGGCTCCTCTGGGCATCTGGCTTATGGGTTGGAAGTTAAGTTCTGCTGAACCAGGCACCCTGCTTCAGAGGAGTGCGAGGGAAGTCCAAGAGTCACATTTAAATTATTTCAGGACTACCTGCATTCTCCAAAGGGCCCTAAAATATGGTTACAGAAATATTACTTTTAATGAAAACTTTTTATATTTTATCAGAAATCAAATACACATTGGTAGGCACTCAATAAATGGTCCGGCAAGTAAAGCTATAATTCAGTGGATCCCATCCTACCTCATTGAAATCTATTATTGTCCACATTGTCTTCCCGTGGAAAAATTAGAAAACATTTTTTGGTCTCTTTTTCCCCAAAGAACCTTGATATAGATTTCTCGATTATAGAAAGATTCTCTTTTTAAATTAATATCTGTTCATAAGATTATGCAGTTTTCAAACATACAATTCTATAATATCTGTATATTGCATTGTGTTTCCTACCGAAATTCAAATCTCCTCCTGTCACCATACATTTGACCCCCTTTACCCCCTTCTCCCTCTCCTCCAACCCCCTCACTCTGGTAACCACCGTACTGTTGTGTCTACGTTTTTTGTTTGTCTTGTTTGTTCACTTGTTGCTTGCAGTTTCATATCCTACAAATGAGAGAAATCATATGGTTCTTGACTATTTCCATCTGACTTATTTTGCTTAGCATGATATTCTTAAGATTTATCCATGTTGTCACAAATTGCAGTATTTCATCTTTCTTTTATGTTAAATTTACTAACAATTTTTTTTAGTGACTCAGCCATTATTTTTAATTCTGCTTATTTATGTCTCACTGGAAGTTTAGATCAAACATCTCTAAAAGGGAATACATGATTCTAAAAGTATAACTTTGTCACATCAAGTTTCTTTGAAACATGTATAAATTTATAGATTCACTATATATTGGAAGGGATCCAGCAGGGTCTGATCATTGAAACTTTTAGAATAGTATTTTCAAAGTGGTTTAAAATATACAGAAAATTATTTATTTTCTATTATTTTAATGGGATCTATTGGGTAGATAGTAAAAGGATCCTCTGATCGATCCAAATATATTCTGGCTAATTATGAAAAAGTTGTAGTATAAAGACTAATGCAAAGGCCAATTGTTGTTTGAAGCATAACACATTTCCCTTAGAAATAGAATTTATTTTGCTTATATAATATGTATACCCTTCCTATTCCAGAAAAATATTGGGAGAAACTTACGAAATTAAGTGTAATGTAAACTAAGAAAACTTTAAAAGTGAAACGAATGAGGGAATAAATATGTCCAAGTACCCAAGATGGTTTTTATTTTATTTATTTATTTATTTATTTATTTGGTACATGCCCCTTGTGGGAGCCGAACCCAGGACTCTCTGGTCCACAGGCTGACGCTCCAACCACTGAGCCAAATAGGCCAGGGCTCAAGATGTTTTTTAAAGGGAATTAGTTCAGTATAAATAAAAGAAAACAGAAATTAATATTATATAGATTTATGTTCATGCTGGAGAACAACTAGTGTGATTTTAGTCAAGCTTCTGAATCTCAGTATCCACATCTGTGAAATGGATACAGAGAATAACTCCCTGGCCAGTGAATGTGTTCCATAACACAGCCTCAGTGGAAGACTCCTCCTCCCTCAGATGGATTTTGCATTGCTTTTGGGATCCCTGGCTCAGGAGGGATGAGGGCAGTTCTGAAAAAGCAATCTGGCTACTCCTATTTTTGTGGGACTAGTTGGAGCAGTTGCTCACCTCTGTCTGTGCTGATGCCCAGCTCCTCTGAAGTACTAACTTCTATGCCATTTGGAGAACCTCTCCTTGTGTTGCTGTCAACCTGCCTTACCTCATTGATTCTTAATAATCTTCTTTTACACTAGCCAGAAAATCGCCTTTACTTTCTATTGTCAACTTTACAGCTTTTACATCTCTAGTGAGGCTGACTTCTTAATATTGAACCTTTCTATTTCCCAGAGGACAGAGCTTTGGCAGGTCAGGTTGTGATCAAGCTTGGTGGGACCTTCATCTGGAAGTACAGGCTTCTCAGCAATTTCCACCCTGCTGCTCCCTCTGGACCACTCGGAACTCACAGTGGTTTTTTTCTCTGGAGTTCCAGGGGTCCTCTGTAGTCTAATACAACTTTGGTGAAACTTCTAGGCTTTCATACAAAATTGTATTCCAATTGGAATACACGTTTAACTTGTATTCCATGGATCACTGTACCCCAACCAAACGCAGGAATTCAGTCTTTACACTGATTTGAATATCCGCTAATGAGGCTGAACTTCCCAGAGCACAGAGTAGACCACCAGGGGGCGGTGTTGCCTAATCTTACATTCCAGCCTAACATGGAATGCAGCCCCAAACCTTTGTTAAACTCAATTGTGAAGCCTAAATGAGATAATATAATAGTTGCAACTTCAGTGCCTTCTAAGTGCCAAGTATTATATATATTATTTAATTCAGTTTAATTCTTATGTATCCCAGATAATGTTTGTGGGTTTCTCTGCCCAATGAGATTTAAATAGCATTGCTTCAAACACCAGTGATTCCATGATTCCCCTCCCCAAGTTCTGTTCATTTCTTTAACTGTTTGCTCCTGGTTCCCCTTGTCTGTGGCTTCTGAAATTGTTCATGCTGCCTCTATTTGCACAATCAATTTCATTTTTTCATATGTTTCCACAGGACATTCATTCTATTCACACTAAATCTTTCAGGGGATCCACAGGAGGGAGTCAAGTTGTAATTTTCTCCCCCCCAGACTCTATTTACCTTCCCTATCTCCCCCAAAGGGTCAATCAAATTTCTCCCTTTTTCTCTCATAATAAGTGAATATATTTGTTGTTTGAGCTTCTCTCTCACCCAAGTTACTTATTCTTAAACAATAGGTGAGAGAGATCTGAAAGTGAAGTCTTGGTAGAAGAGTTTGTATGTGTGAACTCTTTGTCAATGGAATGTTTATAATTTAGAATCTTTGAGCATATGCAAAAAAGGCTGTTATACTAATCAGAATTTCATAGGGTTGTTCTCCAGCAGTTAAATGTGGAGTGAGTTAATTATGAACCAGTGCCTAAAAATGTTGAGCACACCGAGAGACAAGAGACGATATCAGAAATATCTCAAATGAATATTAATGTTTTGAAATGTCTATGTAATTGAAATCAATTTAAATGTAAAAATAATTTGAAGGATGCTAATGCAATGGCAGAGTCTCCATAGATAAATATGTCAAAACACATTAGAATTTCTCTGAGGCTATGGCAGAAACTGCACTGTGAGCAGGCTGAGAGAGGTAGATTTGATTTCACTTTTGCCCTGTAGACAGACCTATGTATTTGGGTTTTCGTGTTTGCATCTTTAGTAAGGAGTTCATTACTTTGGCTTTGTTGATTTTGCTTGGAAATTAGTCCTCTGTTTTATTTTATTTTATTTTTATTTTAACTTCATTTAAAGTTGACTGACTTACCTAAGAGTGAATGCAGATTTTGGTTTGTGGGTCATAAATAAACTTCAAAATTAAAGAGATTTATAACTTAAAAATATGTTGGTCAGGCAAATTCTGCATTATTCCATGTACATGAAGTATCTAAAATAATCAAACTCCTAGAAGCAGAGAGAGAAGAATGGTGGTTGCCCTGGACTTGGGTGAAGAAAATGGGGCTGGGTGTGGGGGTAGATGGATATATTTTCAGTTTTGCAAGATGAATAAGTTCTGTGCAACATTTTGTACAACAATCTGCAAGATGTTGTTATTGTTAACAACACTGTGTTGAACACTTAAAAAAATATCATGAGGGTAGATCTCATGTTCAGTGTTTGTACCACAAAACAAAATAAAAAACAAAGGTATGTGAGGAAACTTTTGGAGGTGATGAATGTATGTCTTACTTGATTGTGGTAATGGTATGTGGGTACATATGTGTGCCTAAACTCATCAGACTGTGTAGTTTACATTTGTCCATTCTTCTGTATATCAGTGATATGTAACAACCTGTTTTTAAAAAGAACATATATGATAAAAAATTACTAAAAATGTTTTGGTTCATCTTTCATTAAGCCTTGACAAAAGCCATGTGAAAAAAACAGAAGAGGCATGACTGACTACATTTCGCATTTGAAGAACAAAGGCTCTGATAGAGTAAGTGAGTTGACCCAGGCCACTGTATAATCCTTTACAGTATTGTGCGAGACCATTTCAAAATGATTTCAAGTACATTATCTCCTTTGAGGTAAAATTCTACATTCTCTCTATTCTATGAATTATCAAGTTCTATTCATTCTTTCTTATGTGCTTTTCCACCTGTCAAAATCTTTTATTCTTAAGACTCAGAATATATTCAGCTGTTCTAACTCTGAGCCAGAATGGATTTACCCATGTTGACCTCCAAATAGCATGTAACTGTTTCAATCATCTGTCCCTTGCTGCATGCTTTTTTCAGTGCACTATTTTCTGCATCCAATTTATTGACATATTTTGGAGACAACTCTGGAAAATTACTAATTATTATAAACTTTCAAAGGTTTAGCATGATGTTTTTCCTATAGGAGTTACTCAAGAAATGCATGGTGAAATAAATGCATAAGATATGTCCCTTTTTTTTCCCCATTGATTGTCATTGATCCAGTCCTTCCTGCCCATATTTTACTCTAGCTACCTGTCAATGTTCTCCCTCTGCCTCAGTTGAAGCAGTTACAGTATATAGTCTTTGTAGTTTAAAAACAAACTTACTGGTGAGGTGGATCCATTGATCCTCCTCCCCCCTCCTGGAAGAGAAAAGGGGAAACATCTGTAATACTTTCAACAATAAAGATAAATTCAAAAAATAAAAATAGACTAGATTCCAAAATGGCAACAGAGTGAATAGAAGCTACACAGACCATCTCCCAGGACCAAACTGGAATTACAACTAAAATAAAGACAAATCATTAGGAAAAAGCAACAGAAAGCAGCTTGCGAGGGCCATATAACTAGGGACAACGAATCAATCCTGGTAGGATGGTGGAAGCACTAGAGGGGGCCAGGGAGCTCACGGACAGCATCAATCTTAGCTGTGAGGAGCGCCCTTGGGGTTAAACTCCCAAGCTACTCCACAGTGCAGAGGGCTGGGACAGAGCACTAAAATAGCCACAGCCACTCACCTTGGGCTCCGACACAGGGAGGGTGGACTGCATTGGAACTGTGTGGGGACACTCAGGATTTGGAGGGTGCTCAGAGCTTTTGCTCAGTGGTGGCCACACAGAACAGTGGCCATTTACGCCTTCCCAGGGCCCTGGGGAGAGGCAGCGGTCCTTCCCTCAGAGATTCAACCCCACCCAGTGGGCGAATGAAATGCAAATTGGGGTTCATTAACAACCAGCGTCTGCCCTACCCTTGGGAAATCTCCTTACACTGACCACCTGAGGTAGTTTTTCATTCAACTGAGAACCCAAGGCTCCTCAAGTAACTGCGACAAATAGCCTTCAGGCAAACAAGATAGAGAATAACGAAACCATTCCTGGGCTTGCAACTCTACCTAGGGAAGTAAGACATGCCAGTGGTGTTTAATGTGGGTCCTCCCACACTCATCCAAACCCAATAAGGGAGCCACAAACAGTTGAACACCATTACCCACAGGAAAAATTTGCCAGGCTCGAAAGCCCACTGAAATAGCCATAATGGTGAATCAAAGAAACAAATGCCAAATGAAAGAAAAAGAGACCTCTACTGAAGATGTGATAAATGAGGTGCAGTTAAGCAAGTTAACAGAGCTAGAATTCAGAGCCATGATCTGGAGGAAGCTCAACAGCATGAGTAAGGACATAGAAATGTTGAAAATCAACCAATTGGAAATTAAAAACCACCTAGAATAAATGAAGAATGACATCTCAGAAATAAAGACACATTGGAAGGTCTAAACAGCAGAGTAGAGGAAGCTGAGGACCAGATCAGTGAATTAGAAGACAGGGTAGAAAATATCAACCAATCAGATAACCAAAAGGAAAAAAACAATTAAAAAACAGGAAGACAGCTTTAGAGAACTGTGGGACTAGAAAAGTAATAATATTTACATCATAGGAGTTCCTGAAGAAAAAGAAAATGAGCAAGGGTTAGAGAATATATTTGATGAAATAGTGACAGAACACTTCTCTCATTTGGTGAAGGAAGAAGACATTCAAGTTCAAGAAGCACAGAGAGCCCCAAGTAAGAAGAACCCAAACAGGCCCACATAAAGACACATCATAATTAAAATACCAAAAATTAAAGACAAAGAGAGAATTCCAAAGGCAGCAAGATATAAGCAACAGGTTACCTACAAAGGCACCCCCCCCCATAAGGTTATAAGCTGACTTCTCAAAAGAAACACTACAGGCCAGAAGAGAATGGCATGAAGTAATCAAGGTCATGAAAAACAAGGATCTGAATCCAAGACTACTCTACCCAGCAAGGCTATCATTCAAAATAGAAGGACAAATAAAGAGCTTCCCAGACCAAAAAAAAAAAAAAAAAAAAAAAAAGGCTAAGGGAATACATTAGCACCAAACCAGCACTGTAAGAAATGTTAAAAGGACTGCTGTAAGTAGTAGAAGAGATAGGAAGAAAAGTATAACCACACTGAACAAAAATGGCAATAAATAAGTACATATCAATAATCACCTTAAATATAAATGGATTGAATGCTCCAATGAAAAGACACAGAGCAGCTGATTGGATAAGAAAGCATGACTGATATATATGTTGTTTACGAGAAACCCACTTCACAACAAAACTCTCACATAGGATGAAAGTGAAGGGATAGAAAAAAATCTTCCAAGCAAACAAAAAGGAAATAAAAGCTGGGGTAGCAATACTCATATCTGATAAAATAGATTTCAAAATGATGGCCATAACTAGAGACAAAGAAGGCCACTACATAATATTGAAAGGATCTATCCGACAGGAAGATATAACCTTGATAAACACATATGCACCCAATATAGGACACCAAAATATATTAAAACTTCTGGAGGACTTCAAAGGAGAAATCGATAGCAATACAATCACAGCAGGGGACTTCAACACCCCACTGACATCACAGGATAGATCCTCCAAACAAAAAATTAGCAAGGAAACAGAGACTCTAAATGAAGCACTAGACCAAATGGATTTAATAGATATCTACAGAGAATTACATCCCAAAACTGCAGAATTCACATTCTTCTCAAGTACATATGGGACATTCCCAGATAGAACACATGTTAGGACACAAACTAAGCCACTACAAGTTCAAGAAGATTGACATCATATCAAGCATCTTCTCAAATCACAATGGCATGAAACTAGAAATCAATTGCAACAAGAACATGCAAAGACATTTGAACACATGGAGGCTAAATAGCATTTTATTAAACAATGAATGTGTTACCATGGAGATCAAGGAAGAAATTAAAAACTTCCTGGAAACCAATGAAAAGGAACACAGAACAACACAAAATCTATGGGATGCAGTGAAACAATTCTGAGAGGGAAATGCATAGCACTACAGGCCTACCTCAAGAAACAAGAAAAATTTCCAATCTAACCTCACAAAGTAAAGAACTAGAAAGCAAACAAAATGAAAACCCCAGAGCAAGTAGAAGGAAGAAAATAGTAAACATCAGAACAGAAATAAATTACATGGAGACCAAAAAAACAATTCAAAGGATCAAGGAAACAAAGAGCTGGTTCTTTGAAAAGATAAACAAGATTGATGGACCCTTAGCTAGACTCACCATGAAACAAAGAGAGAAAAGCAAAACACACAAAATCAGAAATGAAAGAGGAGAAGTAACAACTGACACCACAAAAATACAAAAGATCATTAACAACTACTATGAACAATTATATGGCAACAAATTCGACTATCTAAGCAAAATGGACTAATTTCTAGAAAGACATAGTCTCCCAAAACTGGACTGGGAAGAGATAGAAAACTTGAACAGACCAATAACAACTAAGGAAATTGAAGATGTAATCAAGACTCTCTCAGCAAACAAAAGCCCAGGCCCGGATGACTTCACGGGGCAGTTTTACCGAACATTCAAAAAGGAAATAACACCCGTTCTCCTCAAACTATTTCAAAAAATTCAAGAAGAAGGAAGACTTCCAAACTCATTGTATGAGGCCAGAATAATTCTAATTCTAAAACCAGAAAAAGACACAACAAAGAAAGAAAACTACAGGCCAATATCCCTGATGAACATAGATGTCAAAATCCTGAACAAAATACTAGTGATTCAGATCCAGCAAACATCAAAAAAAATATTCACCATGACCAAGTGGGATTCATTCCAGGGATTCAAGGCTGGTACAATATTTGCAAATCAATAAATGTGATACACCACATAAATAAAATAAAGAATAAAAACCACATGATCATATCAATAGATGCTGAAAATACATTTGACAAAATCCAGCATTCATTTCTGATAAAAATGCTCAACAATGTGGGGATAGAGGGATCATATCTGGACATAATAAAGGCCATATATGAAAGATCTACAGCCAACATCATACTCAATGGGCAGAAACTAAAACCATTTCTCTTATGAATAGGAACAAGATAGGGATGCCCACTTGTCCACTCTTATGTAACATAATACTGGAAGTCTTAGCCACAGCAATCATACATGAAGTAGTAATAAAAGGGATCCAAATTGGAAGGGAAGAAGTGAAACTGTCATTATTTGCAGATGACACCATATTATACATAGAAAACCCTAAAGACTCCATAAAAAATCTACTAGACTTAATAAATAAATTTGCCAAAGTAGCAGGATACAAAATTAACATCAAGAAATTTACGGCATTATTTCCCAATGATGAACTCACAGAAAGGGAAACTAAAAACCAACCCCATGTACCATTGCAGGAAAAATTCAGATACCTAGGAATAAACTTAACCAAGAAATTAAAGGACCTATTTGCAGAAAATTACAGGACATTGAAAAAAGAACTAGAGGAAGATATAAAAAAGTGGAAGCACATACCCTGTTCATGGATTGGAAGAATTAACATCATTAAAATGCCATATCCAAAGCAATCTATAGATTCAATGCAATCTCCATCAAAATACCAACTACGTATTTCACAGAACTAGAACAAATACTTCAAAAGTTCATATGGAACAAAAAAGACCTAGA